AAAACATGACATTTTGGTGACATATATATAAATATTATTATTACTTCGTATAAGAATTTTCAGAAAAAGGATAAAGGGTTTTTTTGTGTCCCAATAAATAAACAAAGAAAATAATACTGAAAAAATCCTTACAAAACATTTCAATAAAAAAATACCTACTGTATACTTTCTCCATTCATGGAAATGGATACTTCATATATGATTATAACACATACAGTAAACAAAATAAATTTATGTTTGCTATCATTTTCCTTCCTTCTTGAACAAACCATAAAAAAATATAGATAATTAAATAAGTGTGTGCCTCACCCTGACAGTTGCAGAGCGGCAAATCTTATGCTATTTTACGTAGTTTAATACAAGGAAGCACATGCCGCTATCCTCGTAGCAGTTAAGAGGAATAATATACATATATCAACAGATAACCCCAAAAGGAAGAAAATGGCGTAAGCGAAGCGACCTACCTCGATGTACATATACATACCAAAATTACTCCATGATAACAGAACAAGAGAAACTTCTGTCATCAAAATACTGCAAAATGTTCCGCAAAATACCAGGTTCTTGCAAATAATAAAAAAATATACTCGGATAAGTAACCACATCTTTAAACAGTAAATAAGATTTTAACCCTCGTTAATTCCAAGTCATATTCATCATTAATCCAGAACACCCTTATGTACCTGGCATCAGTCAAATGCGACATATTTTCATGTTAATAGTTAAAGATATATGCATTTATTATTACCGTATTTTCATAACACCAACAATTAAATCTCATTCCAAACTTTTCATGATTAATTAATACAAAAACTGTATACGCTGCACATTTTAGTAGTCCTACCTCGTCTATTTCTTATTGACTTCCATAGAGTCCTCTGCTCTCTTACTCTTTCTAATACCTCTTCATTTCTAACCTTCTCTATCCACGGTATCCTCATCATTCGCCTGTAACACCACATTTCGAATGCTTCTAATCTTTTCATTTCCGCCGCTTCTAATCTTTTCATTTCCGCCGCGCCCACTGTCCATGTTTCGCACCCATACATCGCCGCGCTCCAAACATACACCTTTAACAATCTTTTCCGAATTTCTAAATTAATCGTTCGCCAGCATATAAGTGGCTTCTTTTTATTGAAGGCGACTCGACCCTGCGCTATCCTATACTTTATATCCCTACTACTCCTTCCGTCCTGACTTCCTAGATACCTAAAAATCAGCAAATTTTTCCTCTCCTATCTTTATATTCGCTCTTTTTCTTCCTTTGCATACCAGTATTTTTGTTTACTTTTATTTTCATCATCATCATCATAAAGTCGTTAGTCCTAAGACTGGTCGGACACGCACCTCCACTCTTTCCTATCCTGAGCTAAGCTTCGCATTTCCCTAAAACTAGAACAGCCCACATCCTTAACTATTTGCGAACATAATCTAATGTAGGTCTATCCCTCCTAACGCCTTTTTCTGTCTCTAATTTTTAACTAGTAACTTTTTGAATATTTGATGTATTAATTTATTTGATTGTTTAGAGTTCAATTGTCATTTAAGTTTTATTTCACCATCTGCGGCCAGTACTCGAATCGAACGGATCCTATCATCCAAAACAGCAATTAATCATTTACCAGCGCACCGCTGCGTTTGTTCGTGTAACGTTTGATAATAAAACAAGCATTTCGTTTTACATGAATTACTGTTTAAGGGAAGCCATCGTCGTTGCATCGGTGCATGCATTTCGCTCTCATTCTCATCGTTACAAAACAAATAACAACCGGCTGCTCTTCGCAAAGTTAACGAGATTGTAACGCCTGAAACAGTCGGAAAACGAACACGACCTGTCAGTTTTACGCGGACTTTTCGAAATGTCTGATGTTCATTCGGTAGTGCCAAATTAAACTGGCAGCATTCCACACAACTACCCTCAGCATATTTTCCGAAATTATATCACGAATTGTTCGTTTATATTACCATATCTTCAGGATTGTATATACAGTATTGTATAAAATCGGTAATTTTTGTAAGTATTTTTAACTTATATAGTTAATGACTATGCATTTCATATTATTATTACGGTTAACATTTTCAACATTCCAAAATTGGATAGCATTACACCAATATTTCAGGCTAAACGTTTAATTATTAAAAATGCCGCAAGCAGCGATCGATACCAGCGGCACTTTTCATGTTCCCGAGAGCCGATTACTTCTAGCCTCAAATCAATTGACAAACAATAAGTTTTCTATAATAATCAGAATTATTATCATTTATCCCTACAAATAAGTGACTATAGTATCCAATGATAAATAGTTGATAAAAGACAGTGCTTTTCTTGATAAATTGTTCATCTTCATAACACTGAGTCTATCAATAATCGATCTCTCTAAAATAGTTTGAAATTTATTTTAGAAAAAAAATGTTTCTACATTATAAATTGAAAATTATATAAGTTTTTCTACAGGGATGATGCTTGATAAAACATTGATATCAAAGGTATGCATTTTACATCAAATAAATTGTACCTTAACCACATCGCCGACAAGATCATGAAATTATCGTAAAACAGTTAATAATTTAACAGTTTCTTTAAATGAGTACCTAGCACACTACAATTACAGTCTACGTTCATGTTGCAATGAACTAATAGAATTTCAATTGACGCATGCAGATATACTCTACATATGCACGCACATGAGCGTTTAAACCATTGAATTGTATCTGAAAAGTGTTCTTTGGACAATGAGCTCGGAAATAATTACTCTGTGTGTGTGTATTGTACCTAAACTGCAGGCGAAAGAAAAATAATAATTACCGCGCACCAATAAGCCAACAAGCGGAGAGAAAGCGTCTGCCGGATGAGAGCATACACAGATACGAATAATTTAATCAGGAACCGGTAAACTCGCATATGGGGAGTTAGTTAAATAGATCGTTCATTGGTGCATTTCGAAACAGAAAAGAAAGTTTATACAATGCGAGCATTTGTAATGCCGCAACTCATTTTCTTATAAAAAAGAAAATATGAAAAAAAAAAATAATTTATTTGAAATACCAATGCACATGCAGGGTGTATTAAAAATCAAAATTTTACAAATTTGTACTTTTTATAAGCCGATATGAATGAAATTTTTCCTACACAGTATAGAATTAGACAAAACATGACATTTTGGTGACATGAAATATTATTATTACTTCGTATAAGAATTTTCAGAAAAAGGATAAAGGGTTTTTTTGTGTCCCAATAAATAAACAAAGAAAATAATACTGAAAAAATCCTTACAAAACATTTCAATAAAAAAATACCTACTGTATACTTTCTCCATTCATGGAAATGGATACTTCATATATGATTATAACACATACAGTAAACAAAATAAATTTATGTTTGCTATCATTTTCCTTCCTTCTTGAACAAACCATAAAAAAATATAGATAATTAAATAAGTGTGTGCCTCACCCTGACAGTTGCAGAGCGGCAAATCTTATGCTATTTTACGTAGTTTAATACAAGGAAGCACATGCCGCTATCCTCGTAGCAGTTAAGAGGAATAATATACATATATCAACAGATAACCCCAAAAGGAAGAAAATGGCGTAAGCGAAGCGACCTACCTCGATGTACATATACATACCAAAATTACTCCATGATAACAGAACAAGAGAAACTTCTGTCATCAAAATACTGCAAAATGTTCCGCAAAATACCAGGTTCTTGCAAATAATAAAAAAATATACTCGGATAAGTAACCACATCTTTAAACAGTAAATAAGATTTTAACCCTCGTTAATTCCAAGTCATATTCATCATTAATCCAGAACACCCTTATGTACCTGGCATCAGTCAAATGCGACATATTTTCATGTTAATAGTTAAAGATATATGCATTTATTATTACCGTATTTTCATAACACCAACAATTAAATCTCATTCCAAACTTTTCATGATTAATTAATACAAAAACTGTATACGCTGCACATTTTAGTAGTCCTACCTCGTCTATTTCTTATTGACTTCCATAGAGTCCTCTGCTCTCTTACTCTTTCTAATACCTCTTCATTTCTAACCTTCTCTATCCACGGTATCCTCATCATTCGCCTGTAACACCACATTTCGAATGCTTCTAATCTTTTCATTTCCGCCGCTTCTAATCTTTTCATTTCCGCCGCGCCCACTGTCCATGTTTCGCACCCATACATCGCCGCGCTCCAAACATACACCTTTAACAATCTTTTCCGAATTTCTAAATTAATCGTTCGCCAGCATATAAGTGGCTTCTTTTTATTGAAGGCGACTCGACCCTGCGCTATCCTATACTTTATATCCCTACTACTCCTTCCGTCCTGACTTCCTAGATACCTAAAAATCAGCAAATTTTTCCTCTCCTATCTTTATATTCGCTCTTTTTCTTCCTTTGCATACCAGTATTTTTGTTTACTTTTATTTTCATCATCATCATCATAAAGTCGTTAGTCCTAAGACTGGTCGGACACGCACCTCCACTCTTTCCTATCCTGAGCTAAGCTTCGCATTTCCCTAAAACTAGAACAGCCCACATCCTTAACTATTTGCGAACATAATCTAATGTAGGTCTATCCCTCCTAACGCCTTTTTCTGTCTCTAATTTTTAACTAGTAACTTTTTGAATATTTGATGTATTAATTTATTTGATTGTTTAGAGTTCAATTGTCATTTAAGTTTTATTTCACCATCTGCGGCCAGTACTCGAATCGAACGGATCCTATCATCCAAAACAGCAATTAATCATTTACCAGCGCACCGCTGCGTTTGTTCGTGTAACGTTTGATAATAAAACAAGCATTTCNGGCGTCGATTAATGACGTCATCAGCACTGGCTAATATGCTGGATTATATTTCGAAACACACCCAATATTGATTTATGACCGCCTGCAAAAAAAGGGGTGACCTTTCTGTATAAGATATCTTTATATTGTGGAGTGCTCAACATATACAATGCTTTAGTTTTATAATACTAATTTCTTTGCAGAGCTAACTGGAATTCATGCATAAATAATATTAGCCTGAGCGTCAACATAAACGGTCCTTCCAAAAGCTCCAGGCACCGCCTCCCAGCTGTCATACAAACTGCAGATAGGCCGGCTGCTGTCACGCAAAAAGAAAGACGAAAAACACGCGAAACATCCAAGAAAAAGCACATACAGGTAAGCTGAAAGATTACGCTTTTGCTTAACGATATTTACGAACTTTATTTTTGAAAATTTCTGGTTAACAAAGAAAATGTACACAAAACACTAAACATCCAATATGCATTTATTGGTAATTCCAATGAATATGCACGTGTGTATATTTATATAGGACGATTTTGTTGTACAGGTAAATCTTGCACTACATCTTGCTTAATTTTCTTTTTTAAATGAAAATAGTTGCGAATACTTTTTTATTCATAATTCTCAAACTGTAATAGTGTTTGTGTGATTAGATGTCTATAAATATTAAAAGCATCCATTTCTCAATTTAGAGTAGCTTGGAAGACGTCTCGTTAAATAAACATTCCGGATTAAGTGGAGTAGACATCAGTAACGATCAGAGCTTTCCACTTCGACGATGTCAGAGTCTCGCGGTTTCCCGAGAAGATTCTGATGATTTATACGGAAACTTAAAAAGCTTACCGAGTACTGATCCCGGACGCCCACGAAGGTCCCAGCTTATACCACGGGCACGTTTAATAGATAGAACAACTGGACGTCCGGGCAATGATAAGTAAGTAAAGAAGGTTCAAAATAAATAAGACATTTGAGAAAATATATCCATTACGTTACTTTAGAAAGAGTATTTTACTTTATCATAGCCGTATCCCACTGAAATGGAAAATTTTGGAACAAATAGTGTCATTGCTGCGGACTATTTACTTTGAAGTAGATTTTATTTCATTATAGACGATGTATTTTTTAAGTGACTTTGTTTTATTATAGTCGAATATACAGGGGGTAATAAATAGCATAAATGAGCGACTTCAAAGTCTAATAAAAGTCACTGATTTCATACTTCATCATAAGGTCGTCAGTCCTAATTTAGCTAATTTTCGCATTTACTTAATACTAGAACAACCCATATCCTTAACTATTTGCGAACAGTAATCTAATCTACCTCTACTCCTCCTAACTCCTGCTTCTGCCTCTAATATGTCTCTGACTAAACCTTCATGCTTAAGAAGCCTATCAAGCCTATTTCTAATTGACTTCCATAGAGTCCTCGTTTCTCCTACTCTACCTCTTCATTTCTAACCCTCTCCGTCCACGGTATCCTCATCATTCACCTGTAACATCATATTTCGAACGCTTCTAACTTTTTCTTTTCCGCCGCGCCTACCATCCATGTTTCGCATCCGTACAGCGCCGCGCTCCAAACATACGCCTTTTACAATCTGTTTCGAACTTCTAAATTAATCGTTCGCGAGCATAAAAGTGACTTCTTTTTATTAAAGGCTACACGACCGTGTGCTATCCTCTGCATTATATCCCTACTACCCCATCCGTCCTGAACTTATCTGACTTCCTAAATACCTAAAATCAGCCACTTCTTCTAATTTTTCGTCTCCTATCTTTATATTCGCTCTTTCTCTACTTCTTCTTCCCTTACATACAATTAAATGATAACAAATGAGACGCTAAATTTCAAAAGATAGTATAACTACCGTCGCCTTCTACATATATTTATATTCTTTAGATATAATTTATTGCAATTAATTTATAGTTTGATTTGTCTATTCCTATTAAGATAATTTCATAACAACCTAATAAAAACTTATCTTACATGAGATTAAAAACAAAACTTTCCAAAATTCTAATATTTCACTGATATTTACAATTACTTTCAGGCAATAAACAATTTCCGCTTATTTTGGAGGACTTATATAAAAAGTAATAAGACACTAACAACACGTAATATAACATTCAGCAACACACCAAATTAACAAATAAGTTATGTAAAGACAAAACAAGCCTTTTGTAATTAATGTTGCAATATAAAAGAGTAATGATACGAATTAAGAATAATGTCAAAGGTCAACTAAAACATTACCCATTTCTCACCTCTAAAATTCAAAAAAGTACTAAAGTACCCGTTACATCACCATATTGTACTACCTCACGTACGTCCTTGTTCAATTTTAATCTTTAACACGTAAAGTACAAGCTTCAACAGTAATAACAGTCTACGAGTGGATTTGAAAAAGCACTTTTCATTTTTAAATTGCGATGCAACTCTCTCCCTACTATGTAATTTAATAGACAAAGAGAAAATAATTGAATCATTGTATATTTATATATCTTTCACAGCAAATCGAATGAAACTTTCATTTACGATTAAATAATTGGAATACGGCGTTTAGTTAAGTTTTCCAATGAATCGATTTCAGGGGTAGTTTTTCTTTTCTGGTAAGGAGAAGTAGAGGAAGACCTAGATTAGATTACTGTTCACAACCAGTTAAGGATGTGGATAGTGTTGATCAAAAACTAATTTCACAAGTTCAACCACACCAAACCACGTAATCAGTTGTTTGTTAAACAATTAGTTAATTGCATAACTTTTTAAATTTATACAACTGTTTATTCTCTTTCGTGTACGCCCTATTTGTATCATCCTGGCGGATGTTTGTCACTCATTTATATTACTATGGAATGTTCCTAAATATTTCCGGAAACTTCCCGTAAGTTTCTTTTTGTCTTGTAGTCGGCTTTCGACAGCAATATTGATGTATACACATTAACCTTTCCGGTTTGCTTTTACGAAACCGCTCGGTTCGCCAAGGGGTTGTAAAATTTTAGAAAACTTTTATTATAGTTATTATTTCAATATCTCTATTTCAGTAACTTCAAAAACAGAAGAGAGTGCATTTGCGCACCTTTTCGGAAATATTTTTGACTATACCCTACAGTAAAATAAAAAGAATAATAGTTTTGAAAATCTGATAACAAACCCCTTGAAATTCTCCGTAATTTCCTATTGAGTAATTCCTGGAAAATACACAGATGAATACGATTTATTACTTACTATAAACAACTTCAAGTTAAATTATAAAAAGTTCTCGAAAGAGAAATGAAACTAACTAAGTAAATTTGTTTGTTTACTAAAATATAAAACATAAATTTTAGCAAATTCTGCTTGCAATTGTGTTCCGAATTGTATTTTTAAAAGACATTATTTTTACATAATTAATTATTGTACTACTCGCTGGTAATAAATGATAAGGAAAACATGAATAAATTTAAATAGGTAATATAATCGTATGACATGGAAATATAAAAAAATATTAAAAAATTCTGATTGCTTCAAGAAGTTCTGTGAAAATCCGGATCAAATCAAATAATTTCCTCAGCATTCGTTTCTTTTCAATTTATTTTTCCGTATCTTCTCTTAAATTTAGATATTCCGAACAAAAGGAATCCTCCAATATTTCTGAATCCTGATAATAATCCGACATCTCCTCGTTAGTATTCTAGCCAGTATTTTTTCTAGAATAAAGCAGATGGTGCGTTTTCCCTTTATAAAGTGGATGAGCCAAGAACCAATTTGTACGGTTTATTTCTTCCTCTTTCTGATAATCACCCTCTTTTCAATCAAATTGTATCAAAAAAACGTAACGCCAAAAGAAGTTGTTTTATGTGTAGTTCTTTTTAAAAATAACTGTATTTTTTATTTAAAAAAAAAAACTATTTTACGTACAAAAGAAATTTCTTCAGTGTAGTATACTGCAACAAGGTCCTTTTAAATATATGGATATCCACTTGCTGAAACGAATCCCGGCGTAGCTAACCTCAACGTGATAGACACGTTACCATAATCGAATAAAATATTCTGTCGAAACTGCCAGACGCGCACCGCGATTTCGATCTTTTTGGATCTCATCAGCGCGTCGCGTTAAAAGCTGCTTCATCTTGAGACATTATCAATTTTCATTAAGTAATCCCAATAACCTCATTTTCCCCTGCTCCCCGATAAATACGTAGAAATACTTGATAAATACGATGCACCACGTTACTTCGACACCTATTACCAATAAAAGGATCAATAAGATTCATTAATTTGTGCAGCAAACAGCAATTCGCATTTTTCCCAATTTTAGAAGCAGTGTTCATATCACCCTGTAGGTACATTACATTAATCGACACTTTTTACCATTACATTGCGTAAACGGAACTATAAACAATGCAAAAACACGATGAGATCATCGCTGAAACTTTTAATTAAAGCTTCGTCTGCTTCGTGAACCGGTACCGTCTGCCGGCACACGATGTGGAGTTTTTGACATACACGTCGCTCTCTAATACCTAACTCTACAAATGCAAATGTTTATCGTAGAGCTTTTCGGGCTGCATTTGTTTACATATACAGGTAAAATTATTACTCTGCGAATACTTCAATACCCAAAGCTCGGGCTTCTCATCGGATGCTTCATATTATATTCGAATCTGCAGCAACGTCAGTTATTTGCAGCGAATAACCCCAAGATTATTCGAGCGTTCAATGTCAACAAGTTGCTTTCACGTTTAGCGGTTCGTTAAGCTCCAAACATAATATACACATGGTAAGGTAATTTCTGCGGTTGTAACATATCTACATATGCCAAATACATCCACAGAGAGAGAGAGAGCCTAACGATGAGCCCTCANTTATTTAAAAAAAACTATTTTACGTACAAAAGAAATTTCTTCAGTGTAGCATTTATTACCAAAATTTTGTTTCCCTGCTTGCAAAATAAGAAATACAGTAACACCAACTGTTCACATTCTCCATAAGTAATAAATGTGTCTCAACGGTTCTGCGTTGGAAAAACGCAGGTAACATAATCGCTAACAGCGAACTACATGCATATTTATGCACTTATCTAATAAATACACGAATAAAACATATCTCCATCTAACACAACTATGAAAGTACCAACACTATTAGGGATTTACAGTAATATCTATTTTAAGGCAAAAGGACATTTGTTTCAATAAGCGAAGGATTAGTTTGTTCACGGTATACGACGGTCTAGCATAATTAATATGGGGTTTCCATTATCGAATCCATCCATCCATGCAATTATATAGTACACACTATGCTTTTTTATTGTTATGTACCTACCCAAAAATACCCGAAAAAAATTATATTCCCACCCTTATAGCTAAAGTTTTCAGTTTTTAAGCCAAGAAGCCTAACATAATTCGATTAGAGTTTTGTAAATATTACAGAAAAATGGCACTTATTTTGTGAAAAAACCCGTTGTCCCTATTAATCTTCAAAATTATGGGATATTTTAATACAATGAATTAAGGAAATTATCACAATTGCACTCAGCAACATATTTTGCAAGACACCGACGAAAACGCGCGAGTCGATGTCTTCAAACTATTTCGTTTAATTTAATAAGATATAATAACCGCGTTTTCATCCACTAAAACTATGAATTAATTAAAATTATGCAGTTCGTACATCACTTTAGCTCAAAAGAGAACTGAAGTGGTCATAAATGCAGAGAGCTAATAAAAAACAAACACCACAGAGCAAAATTAAAACATCCCTGTCGGAGGATAAATGGGGTGACGTGAAGTTTTAAATCCCTTTTATGACGGCTTTTGTATACCGCTCAGCAGAAAATTTACGGGCACTAATGGGAAAGTTAAAAATGTTGGAAAGGAAACAGTTCAGGACGATACGATATGGTGCGAAAAGGGACAATAGATAAATTATACTCTGTTGTTGTTAAACGTCTACATAGAGAATTTTTACCGAAATGAAAAATGGAAAATGTTTACACGAATTTCATAGTAAATAAGAGCTAGTTTAAAAAATCCAGCTCCAAGGATCTTGTCAAAATCCGGAAACCCTATGAAAAGGGCAAGAGTTTTTGGATTAAAGAAGGAAAAGGACGAAGTCAGAGATTCCAAGGCTCATCCGTTGAAAATTCTGGCTCATTCGCCTGAATATTATTAACATAACCAAAAAAATATCAAATTTAAAATAAATCGCAAGCGTTCAACTTCACATAACCCAAAATGCTATGCTTAATACAAATTAAGAGACGTTTTTATATAATAATGTAAAGGTATCCATTATTTTATCAAAATCGAGAGCTGTTGCTTAATTAAAAGCGCAAATCATTTGCACGCCGCTGTCAATTTACTCCAATGGTCCAATTAACCCTTAAAAAGTAATGCGTCAGTTTCGCTCGATCATGTAATTATTACTTCCTGCGTCTAATGAATTGCATTTCTTTGAAATTAATCCATTTATTAATATATAGTTTAACCAAAAGAAATTTGGTGCAGGTAGGAGACTATGAATTACATATTTCTAATGACAGTAGCAATATGAACCAAGGTTAGGTTATGGTAAATGTTCCCTCATAGACTAAGAGGAATCCCAAGAATTTAGGAGATCAATTCATTTAAAAATATCCATTTCCATACCAAATAAGCATACAATTGACCCCACGTACCCGTGTGCAAATAACGCATATTCGCGCACAATCGTCCGTCGACCCTAAATTATTTACATCAAAGAAAATTTCACTTCCTGGTGATGGGGTAGCATTAAATACCTGGGGAGGAAATAAATATGCGTAGGGGGAATAAAAGGTGACTATAATCAACACAATCTCTTATGGCCTCTCCATTAACCGTTTCATACGAGTGAAAACGACTGTATGTATACGAATCTCATTGCAATGAAAAGTAAAATGGCTCTCTAGGTACCGATTCGGTTAAGAAACTAGCTTATTTTAGGTTTACTGAAAATCTGGAGATTGTTCACATATTTCCCATAGAAATGAAAACCGATGATGCATTTTTTTCATAGAAACCCGGAAATTAAAACTCAAAAAGCATTAACCTGAAACAAGTGGAATAGACAGGATTGTGGGAACTATTTAAATTCAATTACATGTACTAAGAGTATCATCCGCCCCAACGGAAACACGCCACATTTGAGATAAGCCCTAGCTAGAAGCTTCTTAATGATTTATGTCGTATTTCTATTTTTTTTAATGTAGTAGTGTGACGTAATGTTCTGNCGCATTTCCCCCGCTGTCTGTCCCTATTTATGCTTAGATCTTTAAAACTACCCAACGGATTTTAATACGTTTTTTTTAATAGGTAGAGTAATTCAAGAGGAAGGTTTATATGTATAATACATGCATAATATAGTAGAGAAACACTGATAATTTTAGAGGTTTTCTAATGTGATGTAAATAAACACAGTTTTTTGCGCTTACATTGCAAACGCTGGCTGAACCCTACGAGATAGATCAAAATAATATACTACATTGTGTACAAATAATACCATTAAACCAATTCCTTAACCCCTATCCCGGTATGTTTGTGTATTTGAAGAAGTTTCACTTCAGTAGCGTGTTGTATAATTACACGTTGTATTTTTTTTTAATATAGGACTTATTTACCGACTTTACCCTAAGTTAAACTTTAATCTCCTGCTATAATGATTCGTAAAAGTTCATTAACATTTTATACATCAAAATACAAACGTCGAATATGCCTTTGTACGTACATTATATATGCACCGCTAATTAAGTATTGATCTCTATTGTTTCACCCTTCAATTCTTGGTCTGCTTCGCCCTTATCGCAGGCAATGCATTATCGACGCAGCCGATATAAAGTTGCTCTAACGAGCATAGTAATTTAAGTTTCATTCTGTTGCCGTTTACATGGGAGCTACCAAGATTTACGGGACCAGTAAAATAGCATGCTTATCAGTACAGTATGATACGTAGATATTATGGTAATTATATTGAATTATGTTGAAACTTTGAATTTTAACCACAATGTAAACTTTTACTGTAATCCGACCACAATTATCTAGGTATTATAGCATGTATTGTGACAGATTTTAAGTTATAACTAACAATGATCACGAAGGTGTCGGACACGCACACGGTGGGTTTCAAAACAAATGAAAAATAGAAAATGGGATCATTTTCACTTCAAAAAAAGTTTTCACTCATAAACGAACGCCGCAGGCGATCGATACAGGTAGCGCCTTTGATGAGTCAGAAAGATGTCAGCCAACGGTAATAAATTATACCTATAGCGAACGCGATATAGATGACAAAACGAATTTAACTGGAAGTTTTCGGATGTAGTCGGGAATATTCCATAACATTGTAAAGAAATAAATATTTGATGGCATAAAGTCGATAAAAGACAGCTGATGCAAATATAGTGCGCGAACGAGAAATCTAAACAGTGAGGTAAATCTAAAGTTATAGAAATAACCGATTGTAAGTAAGCTAGATAAATGTATGTACTGTTCGTTTCAAGAAGTTGGAGATGTGCCCCTTCCCTTTATTAAGATGCGCCGTAGCATAATTCCAAATTCAATCATATTTGTCTGCGTAGCTCATTTCTTCACCGATCATCGAACGAGAGCTAGACAAAAGTGTACAGTAGCATTTACAAAATTATTTAAACTGCCTCGTTAAAATTTAAGAATATGCTTTATTTAAAAGCATATTTAGCCAAAAATAATAACAAGTGAATTAACTTAACGCTCTACACACCTATAAAACTTTTGCTTTGTTTTCTATTGTTAATTTATATACATTTTTGTTTTAAGAAATTGCTAAACATTTTCGTCTAG